AGTCAGCGGCTTCGCGCGTCGCGGTGGCGTCGCGGTGGCGTCGCGGTGGCGGCCGATTAGGTGAGTGAGCGCTGAGTCACGGACGAGTAGGTAGCGCCCTAGCGCCGAGCGCCGGCCGACGCTGCAGGATGCGCTGCATGCCAATCGCATGCAGTGCGACGAGGAGGCGCGGAGGACGCCCGAAGAATCAATGTCTCGTCGCTCTGTCTCTCTCGCACCCGCCCGGGAGGCCCAAGTAGTACGTGACGAAGCCCGAAGGGCCTCACCCAGGGCAGGGCCTCGCCGTGGACGGCATGAAGATGGACACCTCACACCGATCGAATCAGCCCATGCAACAGCGACTTCCGGTGGGCGGTCCCGGCGGTCCCGGCGGTCCCGGCGGTCCCGGCCTCCCCTCCGCAGTCTTTATTTCGAGAGCCCCTTGACGGCCCCGTGCCGTGTGGCCCGCAGCACGCCCCGCAGCACGTCCTCCGCGTAGATTGATCAATCTGGACACGCCAAAGGCGGCCAAAGGCCCACGGGGTCCGCGGGGGCCAGCGGGGCCAGGGACTGCGAGTCGCCCTCAGAGAGACCCTCTCCGTCCCCGTCGGCTTGGCGGGGCCGGCCACACCGGCCGCACTCGCGGAGTGCGTGCAGAGGTACAGTACACTGGTCTGAGACGTGCTTGATGTCTCTTTTTGCCAGGGTACCTCTGCCTTGTGCCGCGTCCGGGGAGAACGAGCCGCGTCACTGCACTTGACTCTCTCTCTCTATCTCTCTCTATCTCTCCTCTGCGCCGAAAAGACAGAAATAAACAGGGACGCGCGAAGGAATTGAACCCACGCGCGCGGCCGGGCCGCGGCGTCCCTTGGCGTCGCGGGCCCGCAGGCCGGCGGGCCGTGAGGTCCCCGGCTGGCACAAGCTGACACAGCTCAGCATGGCGAGCAGTGCGGCGGCTGGCTGGCTGGCTGGCTGGCCGGCCTTCCGCCTGCCGGCGTGCCGCGCCGCCTGCAGGACGGAAGTGGAAGCATGAATGCACTTGAACGCGCGTGCAACGCGCCTGCCTCGGTACCGATACGCGATACGCCGTCGCTGACGTTTCTTCGCGCTCGCGGTTTTCGTGCTTTGCAGCGCTTTGCGGCGCTCTGCAACGCGGACCGGTTTCGTGTATCGAATATATTCCATTCGGGTGCGCTCAGAAGGCGAGCGCGTCGCCGCGCCGCGCCGCGCCGCCCGGCGATGGAAGGTTGTTGTAACCTGGAAAGTGGGTGAAGGCCGCTCAGCGCGCCACCGCGCCTACCGCGCCGGACTCACGGCGCGACGTGCAGCCGTGGAGTACGTACTCTACCATGGTGCTGTTTCGGTCCAACAGGCTGACGGCCGCGGGGCAGCGGGGCTGCCCTGGAGACCCTGGAGGGGGCCTGCAGTTCGTGGAAGGGGCGCCCACCAACGCCCACCAAGGAATTCTGTACACCTGGAAGCACGGTGTACCTGGATCAATGTTTTGACCACTAAATGATGTCAGGTATTGGTCTCATTGCCTTGCCTCGGACACACTGTGCTCTCCAGGCACTGCCGTTCCATTGGGCGGGCACACCCGAAATCCGGAAAGAGAGTGTGTGTTGGTGGGCGGGGGAGGGGGGGGGCAGGAAGAGCACCGTGGGAGTGGCCGTGGCGGCGTCAAGGACGTCAAGGACAGCTCGGCTCGTCTCCTCGTCGAGTCCTCGAGGACCTCAGCGCCACAAGCTTTCCCGGTCCCTCCGCGATTCCCGTGCCGTCGCGGCTCGGACTGCACTGGACTTCCCCGCCATTTTAGTTTCGCCGACCGCGGGGACCGGCGGGCGGGACGGCGGCCAGCACACCGATTCCACAAGTCGTTTCGTCGCTCTGTCTCTCTCGCACTTGACAGCCTGCCGGCCTGCCGGGACGCGCCGTGAGTGGGAGAGAGACGACCGACTTGCGACTCTGTCCACAGGTCGAGGCGCCGCGCTCGGTCTCTTAGTGCCTGGTCGCGGGTGGAGTCGCGGACGCGACGCGCCCAACAGGTTGCCGTGCCGTGCCGTGCCCCGCCGTGCCGTGTCGAGCCGCATGATGAGTCACTGAGGCACGCGCTTCGCCGCTTCTTGTTTGGCGTGGGGCGTGTCTGGCGTGTCTGTCACTCTCTGTCGGCCTGGGGGCGGTCGTCGCGGTCTTCGTGCAGGAACCACCCGCACGTGGATAACAACTCCATTATAATCAGTGGCGACCCCCTTCCCTTCCCCTTTCCAGCCCTCCCAGCCGGCCAGACCCGCTTGCACAGAAAAAGTGTTCGGCTACAGTGGCGGGCATGTCGTGCTATCAGGGGCCGGGCCGCCGAAAGCCGAGGAGGCGGCTGGGCTGGGCCTGCCTTGGGCCTGCCTTTGGCCTGCCGGGCGCACGTCCTCATGTGCCCTTATCTTGAGGCACGCCCACCACAGGCCAAGCCGCCAAGCGCGGATCCAGGGCAGCGTTCCCAAGCGGGACGGCGTGCTGTGCAGCGGCACTACACTCGTAAACCAGTGGTGACTTGGGATCCCGAAGGGAGTGTAGTGTTGCCCCTTTGCCGACTTACTGGCACTGGCGGAACGATTCGCAAATTGCTTACCTGTTCGAACGGGTCGTAACCCCATGTTGCGAACAAACCGCGTTCCCGACACCCGGCCCGTTCCCAGGTCAACGAGCAGTACGCCGAGCAACAAGCGCAGCCCCTGCGCCCTGCGCCCTGCGCCCTGCGCCCTGCGCCCTGCGCCCTGCCCCCGCCCTGGCCCGCGCCCGCGCGCGCCCGCGCCCTGCCCCCGCCCTGCGCCCGCCCCGCCGCCCCTGCGCCTGCGCCCGCGCCCGCGCCGCCGCGCGCCCTGCCCCGCCCCGCGCCTCCCTGCGCCCTGCGCCCCGCGCCCTGCGCCCTGCGGTCACTGCGGTGGCTTTGTCGCTTCAGCTTCGGTCTGCTGCCGGCAACCCGCACCACCCGCTGCGGCATTGCTGCGGTGCGCTCGCCGTGCTGTTGCAGGGCTTCAACTTGACGGCCTCCTCGGCCTCCTCCGCCGGGCTTGTGTTTCCACGGCCGACCTAGTAGTGACGAAGTGACCGCACCGGCCCCTGAGGCTCGCCGTTCGCCGCGGCCGGCAGGCTGACCCCGAACAGTGCTCTCGACGTTGTCCTTCTCTCTCGCACTCACGGGCCGTTCCGTATGGGTGCGAGCGAGACAGAGCGACGAAGCACTGCGAAGCACTGCTGGCGCGGCGCGGCCGGCACCACACAACGGGGCACAAGTGCCTGTGTGACTGTGTTTATCCGTCGCGGCTGCCTCTGCTTGCGCTGCTTGCGCCGCTCTCGGCGCTGCTATTCTCTGGCGTCGGCAACAAGCGGCAACATCCTGCGAGTCGGCCAGCCGGCCGCATGACCAGAGTACGGTGACCAGACGGCCCTTTTGTGCCCAAACAAGGCCCTGGCCGGCCCTCTCAAGCATACAAATTGAAGGCTAATTTAAGGCTGACTGGGGGTGGGGGTGAGATAATTAATGTGCACCAAGTCCCCATGGACCTACGAGGAAACTGCGGACGCCGTCGGGGTGCGTTTGACGGTTTGAACCGGCGTCGCCTTACAAGTCACCCAGTGCTCGCTCGGCTCATGTGCCCTTCATTGTCGGGGCCAGGGTGGAATGAAGGACGTCGGAGGGGAGGAGAGGGTTAGGGGTGAAACTGCTGATGGAACACAGACCCCGTTTCTTTGGGACGGCCAGCTGCCTCATCTGTCTCGCTTCGGCGCTATCAAGTCCTGACGGCGCTGGTCCAAGTGAGTGTGCGCCACAGGCGGCCACAGGGGTCTGCGTTGCCCAGCAACGCCGTGCCGTCTTAGCACCTCGGGCCGCCTGGACCTCGGCTTACGCGTCTTGAGACAACAGGGCATGGCCTGAGTCCTCCAGTCCTACATCCCCCCCCAAATTTTTTTTTCAGAGGGCAAAATGAGAAACAAATTTTTTAACCAATTTTTTCGCACTTTCATGGCTGCAGCTCACGTCCTTTTTGTGAGATGGCCATTTCCGAGGTTCAGACCATAGAGGCAAGTGTAACGAACATTTTGCCGCAAACCGCATTAAATTATCTTAATATTTGCGCCCGTGAGAGTGGCACAAAGGTAAAAAAAAAGGTGTTTAGAGAAAAAGCCCTTTAAGTGGAAACATAGATTTGACGTTTTTTTTCGGATTATAAATGCGTCTTTTGACGTATTTTAGTTCAGTTTGCGCCAAAATGTCCCTCTTTTCAACTGCGTTTGGGTGGTTCAAGGGTTTTGTAATTGAAGTTCAAGTGAAAACCCTGAACGTTAACAATTGGTCAAAAATATGCAAAAATAATTACCTTTTTAGCAACTTCAAAAATGTGCACAAGCCAAAGTAATCGGAATTTCGGGGTGGGGTTTGCGGCCTTCGACTCGGGATGAATAGCAGAAAAATAAGATAAAATAAAAGAGAAGGCAAAAATTTGTCGATTTTCACTGGTGTGCCCCCTTAAGGCTGACTGGGGGTGGGGGTGAGATAATTAATGTGCACCAAGTCCCCATGGACCTACGAGGAAACTGCGGACGCCGTCGGGGTGCGTTTGACGGTTTGACCCAGCCGCGTCGCCTTACAAGGTCACCCAGTGCTCGCTCGGCTCATGTGCCCTTCATTGTCCGGGGGGCCGGGGGTGGAATGAAGGACGTCGGAGGGGAGGAGAGGGTTAGGGGTGAAACTGCTGATGGAACACAGACGCTGTTTCTTTGCGACGGCCAGCTGCCTCATCTGTCTCGCTTCGGCGCTATCAAGTCCTGACGGCGCTGGTCCAAGTGAGTGTGCGCCACAGGCGGCCACAGGGGTCTGCGTTGCCCAGCAACGCCGTGCCGTCTTAGCACCTCGGGCTGCCTCGGACCCTCAGGCTTACGCGTCTTGAGACAACAGGGGCATGGCCTGAGTCCTCCAGTCCTACATGGCCGCCGCCACCCCGCTAATGCTTTTCCTCCGTTTCCAGGGCGGGACGACAGGCGGCGCCGCGCGGTGCCGCGCCCTCGCATCGACCCCGAGCTGGATGAGTACGTCCTGGACAGCGGCGACAACCTCAAGCTGCGCTGCCAGAGCGCCTTCCCGGTGCGGTGGGAGATACCTGCGGTAAGGACAAAGACCGAAGCACCGAACTTGTTTTTCGTCACTTGAGCGGACGACCTGTCCACGCTTGCAATGCGAGCATGGCAACCAACAGGCAATCAATGCCAGGTAGACTGGAGCGCCTGGCGGGTAGGCAGCCCATCAGGCACGGCGAAGCAACAGGTCGTCGCCAAGGTCGTCGCCCCGCCCCCCGCCCCCCGCCCCCGCCAACCCGAGAGCTTAGCTAGAGCTTGCATGGGGTTGGAGCGGGTTGGAGGCAGATCGGGTGGACGACTCAGTCCAGTCAAGCGGCTGACTCTGGTCTTTGCCATCATAATGCTGCTGACTCTGTGAAAACTCCATCAAAATAGCGTCTGGAAACTTGGCATCACTTTCTTTGTCCCAAGTTCCAGCTTAGAAAGCAAGTTACCTCCAGAAAAAATATTTTCACACAGCCTTTTCTGGAATGTCATAAAGGTCTTAACCTGTTCAAGTGAGACTTTTGGCTTTTCTGTTTGTAGGAAGCTGAGAATGATGTCGTCAAGAAAGTTCTATTTGAACCAATGGAAGATGTGCAGCCTTATATCATTCACTTAGAACTTGCAAACACAAATTACATGCAAACTGGGTACTACAGATGCGTAGATAATCAAACCTTGGACTTGGAGGATGGTCAGAGAGTAACTTCTATTTACGTATATGTGAGAGGTAATGTGCCAAACTTTTGTGATTGTGTGTTATCTTCAAGTTTAACCCACTACTTAATCCAAATAAAATTTCCTTTGGTTTTAGATGAAACAGAACTTCTTGCCCTTGATCCAAATCCGCCACCTCTGACGGTCAACTCTGGTGGCAAACTAGTCATCCCATGTCGCCCTACAGCTCCAAATGTATCTGTCACTTTGACTAAAGATGCTCAAGAGGTAAGAACTCCTTAATTAATTATGCATAACTTCCCTTGGTATTCTTTGGAGGTACGCATGATTCACCGGGGTAATTAATACATGTACATTTTTGCTATGGAAATGGCCCTGTACATAAAAATATTCGTTCACTTGTTACACTGGGTTAAAGGAGATTATTCTTAACTTATGGTAACATATTAAATATTTATCCAGGAAGAGGTTTGCCATACTTAAAAAGGGGAGGGAAAAAAAGCATTCTTGGCTTTGGGCTCAGTGTAAATAATTGTGCCAAACAATTGTTTTGTTTGCTTTCTGTCGGCTTCTTTTTTCTTCATGTAACTCACTTACTGTCAACAAATTCGCCTTTCTAACATCTCTGCTGTCTAAGGAAACCTTCTTTTCAAAATGTTAAACATTGGTTAAGTTTGTTGTGTCAATAGGTGTAGTTCATCTTGAATGGGGGTGGCTGTGCTTTCATACTCACGGCTTTCTAAAATAATAATAAAATTGCAGATCCCTTACAACAATGAGATGCTTTATGATGGTTCTTTGGTGTTCTTCGATCCCCATGAAGGCTTTGTAATACAGAACTGTAAAGCAGCTCACGCTGGTCTGTACACCTGTTCGTCGGAAAGTTCCCTCTCCAATGTCTACGTTCATGTGATGTGTACGTAGTCATGTTATTTTCCATGTTCCAGTCCCTCGCTGTGGTTTGTAGATTGGCTACATGTTGTGCGCTTTTTTGCATGTTGAGTGATAAATTGTTAACTTTCTGCAGTTCTTCCCCTTCCCTCTCCCTTTCCTAAAAATATATAAATCTGTGTTACCAGCTACCCTTTTGCATTGATCATAACAGAGCTTTTGATCCTGCTTTCTTTTCTGTGATCAACTTGTTTTCCTTCCACTAAGCATTCATTTCTTGCTTCTATTTTTCACAATGGTTTTTATCCGTCTTGGTATGAGATTGGGATGAACCACCATCCTGCACATATTGTGGAATATTTTATGGACACTTTTAAATTATTTTTACAATGAAATTTAAGCACTGCCATTTACACGAGATGTCTGAAAATATAAATATATATACATGTATATTATGTTTGGATTAGAGTTTTAAGTGTATGTGTGGCAACTGAAAATGGTTTCAATATTTGGGGCCATTGAAAATGGTTTGGTTGATTCTTTTCAGATTGTGGTGGGAGCAAACAATGAAGTAAGCTTTGATCCCAAGATTGGTTTTACTTATCTGAAGCCTCATGTGATCGACTCCGGGGAGGTGACATGCACTGCACAAAGCGGCTCTCATACCTCCACTAGTAGTTTCGAAGTCCACATTCCTAGTAAGTAAGATTAGCAACCTACCTCTTCTCTCATCTGTAAATTGTTGAAGAAGAATCATACATCTTAGCCACAATTATACTGCTACATGCAGTTATTGTTTCTCTTTCTTTAATGCCGCTTATTAATTACTGTGGTCCTGTGTCATATAAGGCTTTTGGGAGTTTCGTTGGCTGCGTAAATTTTTTTCTAGGAGTAGTGGAAAACAGATCAACCCTCAAGTCTCAGATTATTTTGTGGAAATGTGTAAGGTGGTGGTTTGTTGCTTCAAAGCATGCATTTGCAATGGCTAATTCATCTTCCTTAATTTATCATTTCAGATCATTTTTGTATGTTGTAAATCATTCAGTCTTCTGCTTAACTCTTCCAGTTAATAAAAATTCCACTGAGTTGTGGGTTTTTAATGGCTTGCTAAGATATAATTTTCCTTTCATCTCCCTTTTTTCTTTCTAAAGTTGTCTTTCATTTTGCATTTGATCGCCTTTACCTGTTTACATCGCACTGTGGCTACTTCAAAGGAACATTTTTTAACATATTGTTCAAAACTTTTGAATTTGACAGCTGTGTCTGACGATGTTGCTACTCCATCAATCCATGCGCCAAACCATGCTATCATTGGGACTTCTTTGGTGTTGAATTGTTCTGTTCCGTATGAGAATGGAATCTCAATGGCATTAGAATGGGCTGTCCCTGACCAATCAGGAAAAGACGTAAGGATTAAAAAAATATTTTCTGTCTTACAAGAATAAATTATTAAGGCAAACTGCGATGGTAAAAATAAATGGATTGTGTTTCAGTCTGGCCGTATTGTTGTTGGAAAATTAAGGGAGGTGAAAGAGCCATTAAATGGGGAACAATCATTAGCAGTACGCACTGTAGAGATCAAGCAGGTGAAGAAAAGTGATGAAGGCTTTTACAGCTGCACTGTAAAAGACAATGCAAACAACCAAAAAGTCGAAAAGAGATACATTCCTGTCTTGGGTAAGAAGTTTTTACAAAATGTTGAACTTAAACTATAACTTCTCCTGGTAAGATATGGAATCAAATCTAACGTGTTGCTCCCTTTTGTTTTAGAACAAGGATCTTCATACATCAACCTAACTGTTCAGGGTGACAAAACTAATATCACTGCCAATGCAGGGAGTGATGCATCTGTGCAATGGGTTGTGTATCACTCAGCTCACCCAGAGCCACAACTAGAATGGTGAGTCTTATCCCTCTTCACAATCCTACCAATTCATTTCAGTTATTCTGATTTTGTATCTTTCAAATTTTTAGGTATGACCCTGAAGACAAAGAAATAACATCATCGTCATCATATGGCAAATTTGAAGTTTACCGTGATTCATCCACCACTCGATTAGTAGTAAAGAAACCAAGTATTCAGGATACCGGGGTGTACAAGTTAAATGCTGTAAACCAGGGCACTAGAAAAACTATAGAACTCTTTTTGAATGTCTTGGGTTAGTTCTTTCCTTCATCTTGAAACCCATCTTGCCTTGGTGCGAAGTTTTCTTTCAACGCACCACTTGATAATTCTTTTCTGACTTTTTAGGTGGTCCTTATCTGAATGTTTCAATTGAACCATTTTATATGGTCAACACCGAGGCTAAAATAACTTGTACAGTGCTGGGAAATCCTCTGCCCATTATTCAATGGGCTTTTAGACCATGCACTTTCCAACCCCTGGAAGATTGTGAAGTTCGTGACAGTGATGAGTTGGATGTAAGTTTTTAAGTTTTGGCACGAGATAGCCACAAGTTGGGAAATTGGTTTGGAAAATGGCTTACCATATAAAGATCTGGATCATTCTTCATTTGCAGGTAGATAATTTCTCTGAAGAAGCCTTTGGTAAAGTACAGTTGCGCTCAAAATTAACAATGATTGCTGTGCAGTCTGGTGTCATTCAAAGCAAAGCTTGCAGCTCTGCTGGGGAATGTGTCAAAGAAGAAAAGAACTTTTATGTCACAGGTGAGATATAATCATGTGATGTTCGGCCTGTTACATAGAGCTACCTCTTATACATGAATTGCCTTCTCTTGGTATTATAGATGTTCCGCATGGCTTCCATCTTGAAGGCCCAAATTTAACAGTGGAAGGGGAGAAAGTGGAGTTTAATTGCAGCGTATCACCTTATCATTATACCAGGGACATTGTTTGGAAGTTTGATGGTCTCACAATCGGCGAGGACCGTGGTGAGTTTCCTTACTGTCCTATATTCCTCTTTGGGTATGTTTGTTTCATCCGGGTTCTAATAATTTATTTTCAGATTTCCACATTTCTACAAAGAGCACGGTGTTTTCTCACCGTAGTACTTTGACAGTAAAAAATGTTACTAACACAAATGAAGGAATTTATTCCTGTGTGGCTCTACATGTAGGCAGTGGACTTCCCAGTGAACACCAAATCTCTCTTAATGTGACAGGTAAATTTATTTCGAATTCTGTGAACAGGAAAGAAAGTTAAAGCTATCTTCTTTTGTTAAATTTTTATTTCCATTAATAGATGTGAAAGTACCAGTTTTTGGAAACAAAACAAATTTAATGGGGAATGTAAAAGAACTTGCTGAAGGACAGAGCTTCACACTATACTGCTTTGCCAGTGGAATGCCAAAACCTCAAATCAAGTGGTTCAAGGTACTTAAAAATTACTTTATACTGTACTTTTATAAAATTTACTAAATATTTACCATAGTATTAATTTATTCTTATGTAAATATTTTTAGGGAAAAACACCTGTAAAGCTGAAGACCAACCTGGAAATATTGGATGATGGGAGAAAGTTAGACTTTAAGTATTTGACTCTTGAAGATGATGGAAGGTATACTTGCGAGGCCACTAACAGAGGAGGAACTGTCCATCGATCTATCACCTTAAGTCTGTTAGGTAAGTATTAGTTTTCTTACTCTTCATAATTTCCCTTGTGAATATTCTGCATTGCCGCACCATTTATTTAATATTTCAATTAATTTTCAGACAAAAGAAAAGGAGTGAATGTGGGCCTAGTTGTGGGTCTATTAATTTTAGCTTTGCTCTTGCTTGCTGTCATCATATACCTGTGTGTTCGCGTTCGTCGAGAACAGGTAGTTATGAGACTATTTTGAGCAAAACTTCTAAAAACTCAACTAATGTCATTGATTTTGTTTTGCTTTTCACTTTGAATAGAAACTTCGTCAGCGACTTACAAGTGCTGGACTTATGCACTTTGAAGAAGGTGCCATTGAAAATCTCAATATGGATATAGGTGTAGAAGACCAGGCAGAGCTTCTTCCCTATGATCGCAAATATGAATTTCCTCGAGACAAGTTAAAACTAGGTATGTCATGCAAAGACTGGGGAAATAGTTTCCTCTTATGCACATTTATTATGTTTATGTTCTTTATCTTCAGGCAAAACCCTTGGATCTGGTGCTTTTGGTATCGTAGTGAAGGCAGATGCATATGGTATTATTGAGAATGAAGCTGTCACTCCCGTAGCTGTCAAAATGGTAAAGAGGTCAGCTGATAGTAACATAATAAAAGCTCTTGCTTCAGAGCTCAAAATAATGGTTCACCTTGGAAAACATTTAAATGTTGTGAACTTGTTAGGAGCATGTACCAAAGGGTTGAATAAAAGTATGTATTTTTACTGGTCTCTTCTAATATCAAATATTGATTCAATTTTACTGTTTGCTATGAAACCTATCTATTGTTTCTTTTCCTTTCAGTGGAGTTATTAGTAATTGTAGAATACTGTAGGTATGGTAATCTACACAACTACTTAATGAAACATCGTAACCATTTCATTGATCAAATTGATCCTACTACGGGTTTGATAGACCCAACTAGAGTTCCTGAAGCTTCTGCGAATATTCCAAATGGACGAAACAGGTGTGTTTTCTATAACCTACTTTAACAACCTACATTCAATTACCTTCACATCTTCATACTGTAATTACAATTTACTACCGGCCTATTTCCTTCATATGCATGTATGCAGCCTACATTTATTTCTACATCGCTCATTACAAACCTTGAAACTTTCTGGTGGTGGTTTACACTTTTGTGATTGCATGTGTATTTTTGACTATTGTGGTTGTGGTTTCTAACACCTCATTTCATCTTTATATTAATCCCAACTAACACTACTACCAACAGGTTAAATTATGCAGCCCTTTCCTTCTCCAACAGCGGTCATTCTGACTCATTCAAAGGCGAGCGACCTACAGACTCAAGAGCTGATTATCGCAGTCAGACTGATTCATCTGAAAATTTTGTAACTGGTGCTACAGAAGCTACCTTTGTGTGTATGACACCGACAGGTGCGTCACACATGCAATTCATTGTTCATTACTTTTGGCATTGATCCATGTTCCGCTACTTCAATGATTTAATTTTTTTGCTTAGGAGAAGAGGGATTTTTAATGACTAACAATTCTACTCAACAACCAGACTGGAGATCAAATTACAAAGGGGACTATAAAGGAATAGTCAGTCCTATTACAACTAGAGATCTTCTGTGCTACGCTTTCCAGGTGGCTCGAGGAATGGAATACTTAAACAGTCGAAAGGTAAAGATAAAGATCATGTAATTAATGTCTGAGACTATAATTTTATTTTATTTCTTTACCTCTACCTTTGCAATTTTTCAATTTTTTTTTTTCATGCAGATTCTTCATCTTGACTTAGCTGCAAGAAATATTTTACTTGCAGACAACAACATAATTAAAATTTGTGATTTTGGTTTAGCTAAAAGTGTTTACAAAGATGAGAACTACTTGAAGAAAGAGAATGTAAGAAAGTGCTAACTTTGTAACAAATTCTTTGTTTTTTGTTTCTGAACTGTCTTTCTGAATATTATTATGTGTATTTCTTGTAGGGTCCATTGCCGATTAAGTGGATGGCAATAGAATCAATAAGAGACCGCACATTTTCAACTCAATCTGATGTCTGGTCATTTGGAATTGTCTTGTGGGAATTCTTTTCACTAGCAAAAACACCTTACACAGGTGGGGATCTTTGTTACCCCCTAAAAAAAGGGACTGATATAATTTTAAAATGCTCTAATTCTTTTTGGTTTTGTTTAGGTATGCCAGCGGATGAACACATGTACAAGAAATTAGAGGAAGGATATCGAATGGAAAAACCCCCCTATGCTACAGATGATATGTGAGTTCTTTGGACTTCAGACTTTTTCAGAAAAATAGTACTATTTTCCAAAAGTCAAGTACAATCTTCATTCTTTTGTTTTTGTTTAGATATGCTGTGATGATGGATTGTTGGCAAGCAAGGCCAGTGCTGCGTCCATCTTTTACAGAGCTAGTTGATACATTAGGTTCTATGTTGGAAGATGGTGTTCGTAAGGTAAGTAGCTAAATAAAAATATTGCCATTTTTAAAAAAGTTTTCCTAATAATTTAACACATCTCTGTATACTGTTAACAGCATTATGTTGATTTGAATGAGCCGTATGTACAAATGAACCACCGCTGGTTAAATGAGTCTGGTCACAATGACTACTTGGGGATGTTCAGCTCCCCAACGTACACAAATGTTATGTCACCGTTACCTGTGGAAGATGACGAGCCACAGCGATACCAAAATATTCCAAGGGGAGCTCCTACTGTGGTTGCAGACCATAGCTTACCAGGGGCTTATTTAAATATGACAAGCCCCTTTTCCACAGAACTTGATACTATTTTTAGCCCAACTAGGCCAGGTACAGTATATCAATGATATTTGTTGACTGCATATTTTAAAATCAGAGCCTTTTAAAATCTAAATCCAAGTTGTGCTCTTCACAGGGAGCAATGGGGGAAATGTTTTCAAATTCCAAACCCCCCCACAAGGCAGAAGGTTACGCGACACAGAAGTAAATGATGATGTTGAGCTGAGACCTATGTTGAGTGGAAGCAACAGGAGCAGGAAATCAGAGTCTACTAGTGGACACGAGTCTGATGACGCCTCAAGCCAGTACACAGCTGTTCCAAGCAGCCGGCCGGTCATGCCAAATGTGGACAGCAGGTATAAATCTTAAGTTTCTCTGTAGCTGATTGTTTTAACTTGCAAACAAACTCAATTCATTATATTGTACCCTCCTTTCTTGTTTAAAGCTGAAAAGTGAAAGTCAAAAATAAATGCACTGCTTCTGACTATTTGCTGAGCTTTCTTCTTCAGGTTGTGGGGCATGGAAACATGCATGATATTGTTTTTTTCAACAAGAATTATTGAATCATAGATTATTGAATAGCTTTCTTGATCAGAATTTTAGCAGTTTCTGTTTCATATCAGTTTCTTTTTAGAGCAAGACTTACAGCATTTGCTTTGTGATATGTTTCTGTTCAGGCCGCCGAGTGCGCGGTTCAGCAGTCCCATCGACGACATATCCTTTTCCTTTAATTAGGTAATGCTCCCCTCACATTCCTTTGCCTGCCATTTGCATTTTTTTCCCTCGTGAGGGTCTATTTTGGGTCACTGTCAGTGCAAGGTTCTTCCAAAGTACGAGGTTCTTCTGAAAATTTTAACACTACAGAAAGCAGTACTGGAGTGAAATTTGGGACTGACGGAAAGGTTGTAGTGCTATTTTCTTTGAGAATGCAATCTGTTTAAAGCTTTGGCTCTTTCCTTGCTGAGGGTGGTAGAATAGTTCGCTGCATTTTTAAAGTAGATGTCATTCATCTAAAAAAGTTTCTAGGGGTGGATTTTTTAGCCTCTGCAAGCTGCATGACTCTTCACTGTTGTAGTCTGGGGGTATTGGTGCTGGATGATTTTGTTTTGTCTCTTGCATGTGTTTATCCCTGGTATGTGTATTGTTTTGTTGTTGTTTTTAATCGTATTAGTAGTGGTTTCAGAGTTGGGAGTGACCTATGTATCTGCCCTCAGTTGGCATTTGTTAGTTATAATAAACAGACAGAAATAATTAATAATTATTTCTTCTGAGCTATGAAATAATATTTCAGGTCTGGGATGTCTAACTTCACGCAGTAAATACCCTTAACACATCATTAAAAAATTTACCGATGCATTTTTAGCATGAGTTGACCTTTTTGCCTTATGAGGAAGCCAGATTATTCCTCAATAATTCTCAAAACGATATCTTCAGTCTTCACTTTCCTAGGTTCACTGAGGTTCTCTTGTGTGGTTATTGTTTTTCATGTGACTGTAATTGAAATACCTACTGTGTGGCGGCCTTTGTAAACGTCCTGTCCTCTTTGTTGCCTTTTCCTTGTGTAGGGTTGGTATCGCTCTCAGTATTTTTTTTCAATAATGAATTTCCTTTTATATTTATGTGTTGTCTATGAACTGGTTTGATTTTGTTTCTATAGTTGATCTCAAGTCCCTGGTCTGCGTCCCTAAATTTCAAAACTCTTTTAGATGCATGGACTAACAACTCAATTTATGGTTTCTTCTTCATGTTACCTTATTCAGCATTAATTATTTGGGATTATCTCATTTAGTCTAGACTCATCAAGCTATCAGCATGGAAGCTGTTGAGGTTGCAACACGTACTAACAAATATCTGTAACATAAGTAACATGCTTACTGGTTTTGTTATTATTTCAGGAGCTCACCACAAAAATCTACTAACCAGGGCAAAGTGCCAAGTTTCTCAAATCCGAGCTACAGTTTTGCACCTGACTTGGACAATTATGTGAACTACAAGCAACGGAACTTAAAACCACCAGAACCAATATCTAACATGTCTCCTCCTACGTTCAGTACCTTTGGAAGAAGGGCACCTGTCCAAGAGAGACAGCTTCCTCCCAACTATGTTAATATTCCTCAACAACGAGCTCCCCTGGCTCTTAGCGAAACTGACTTCAATGACCCTCCCTATGTCAACTAAACCATTCTAGTAGAACACAATATCACTTTGCATCATAATGATTCAAAAAGATAAGGCAAATTTTGATGTGATAGAAAGTTGTAATGAGGTCACGTTGACCCTTCCTTGGACCCTTTCTAGTGGCATAAATGCTGTATATCTATGCTCTTTTAAAATTAGGAAGTATCCTAAGAGAAAACATTAATGTATTACTTGTGAGTGAGTGAATCATCCACTTACATTTCTTGTTGGTCTTGAGTGTTGTGACCACTTGAGAAAAAGATGTCCAGTCGCCTGGACATAAGTTCTGTGATAAATAGGATTTTATTACTTTATTTCAATTTTAGTTCTTTAGTATTAACGTTTTGTATTATACTGTAACAATAAATTTGACAGTCATGTGCTATCATGTAATTATTTTTTCAAGACTGTTTGAATGCTTAGAAATAATGTATCTTGCACAGATTTTGTCATTCACGTTATTGAAAGATATCAGTTTTTGTTTTGTATTGAGGTTCAACCAAGGATCAATACTGGTCATTTGCAGTTGTATGAGCGCATTCTTGGGTGTTCTTTAGATAGAGCTGTCCATTGTACCTTTTATTGTACAAACTAAAAATAATTGTAGTGTAGAATTTTTACCTGTAAACAAGCTGTAAATAAGCTGTAAATGTGATGACTTGAAAATAGAAAAATAAGTGTTAATACTGTACCCTAGCAAGAAATGGGTCATCTATTCGTTGTTTTGAGAATCCATTTCTGACTGTTATTATTTGTAAATTTGCATATTACATGAAATTTTCCATAAGTTTCGTCTGTGCCAATGAATCCGTTCAAGTGGTTAATACAAAGACTGGATACATATTTCCCCCGCCTCCACTTTGGGCGTTTCAGGCGAACTTGACGCCCCTCTGCCGGCTGCGCTGCTCCTCCTGGAAGGCGAGCTCGGCGCGGTGCTCCCTCTTGGTGGCCTGCACGCGCTGCTCCAGGGCCGCGCGCTCCCTCTTGGCCGCACGCCAGCGCCACGCCCGCGGGTCCTCCAGGCGGCCCAGCTCGTAGCAGGTGTGCCTGGAAACAACGAACAGCGCGAGGCAGCGCAGCCGTACCATCTCGACGTCAAAAAAGTTGTGCTCGGATTCGAACGCTCGGGCGCTTGGCTCTCCGTTTAGCTTCCCCCCTCCCTTTTTCCGGCTTCGTTATGTGCGCTGACAGGTCCGGGTTCCTGAACCCTTCGCTCATCAACGTGATTGCTCGTTAAGCCCTTGTCGGCCTCGTCGCGGCGCGGGCGCGGTGCGGGGGGGGGGGGGGGGGCGCCGAGTCTGCCAAGTTGAAGGGCAGCGGGGCAGGGCCGCATGGGGCCGGGCCGGGCCGGGCTGGGCCGCAGAGTTGAAGGGCGGCCAGGACTTTATTTTGAGGACCGCGGTGCAGCCGGGAGCGGGGCGGGGCGGGCGGGCGGGGGGCGGCCGTGCCTGTCTTCCGCTCCGGGGCCGCGCTTTAAAGGCAGTGAAAACCGATTGGGGGAAAAGTTACTCGCGGCGAAGCGATGCAGGACGCCCGCCGTTCGTGTAACCCGAAAATAAGCCGGCGGGTAGAGAAGTCGGGGGTCCGGGAGGCGGGGGCTGCGGGGGCGCGCGAGGATGTATGGCGTGGCCGTGGCGTGGCCCGCCTGCGCTGCCCCACATCCAGGGCTGGCCGCCACCAGGCCGCCAGGCCGGCACCCTGCGCCCCTACGTGCTACGTGTCACTCTAGATGGATTCCTAGCGTGCTGCCGCCTGTGTAATCGATTGTTTGAACCCGCTGGCGCCGTGTCGCGCCGTGCCGCGCCGTGCCGTGTGAGCAGCCAGTAAAGCGCTTGTTCTTTCACACTGCATGCCCCATAAATGGGACGCAGGGGCAAGGTCTCGCTGTCTCGCCGGGCCCGCTCTCTCGCACTCGTGGGGCGTCCCGTCGTGCCGTCCCGGATGAAGAGAGAGCGGCGGAGCGGGACCGCGGGGACTCGACTCACTTTTCGGACGGGATGAACTGCCTGCGCGTGGACAGCGGCACGTCGTGGACGGTGGTGTCGGCGACGGCGGGCCGGGCCTGCAGCAGGTGCAGCACCAGCTCGCGCCGGTACCGCGCCCAGTCTCGCCCGTTGAGGAACTGCTGCAGCAGCGCCTCCTGCGGCACACCAAGACGGGACTGTTGCAGGCATCCGCGCCAGTCGGAAGGAGCCCTGCACTGCACGAGGACGCTCACCTGGGTAGGGTAACGCGAGTTGAGGAAGCGGCGGATGCGCGCCCAGAGGTTGCCGTGGCCGCGCTGCAGCAGCACGTACCGGGGCACCAGCAGCACGGACACGGGCCCGTTGGCCACCACGCGCCGGTCCGCCATGTCCTCACCTGCCAAGCGGGACCCCGTCACCTCACACCGTCACGTGACTGCAGTTACCCCATCCCACGCACTGCACGCACCCACGCCGAAGCACTCGCCCTTGCTGAGGATGGCCACCTGCATGAAGTGCGTCTGGGCGCCCGGCGGTGTGGCGGCGCCGGTCGGCACGCACGTGTACCGCACCAGCCCCGCGCTGGACACCTTGGGCACCAGCACCATGTGCTGGATCAGCGTGGCCCGGCCCTTCATCAGGAAGTACGCCATGTTCGGGTGCCCGTGGCCGTCTCCTGTAGACAGACACCCGCCGTCACGTTCTCCGGACGCCTTAGCAGTCCAGGATGCCGTTCCGCCGACACGGCTGCGTGGCGGGCCTGCCTGCCCTCCAGGCGCCATGGCCCCTGACGGAGGCCGGGTGGGCAGGCCCGCCGCGCACCCGTGTCCGCGGGACGGCATCTTGCCCTGCTAAGGCGCGCTAAGGCGTCCGTGACCTGCCGCCTGCCGCCCCGTGGTGTGTTGGCCTCGCGGGTGGCCTACATGCACTGGGTGTCTACAGACTGACTCTGCCTCTCAAGGGAAAGAACCTCGAGTGCGAGAGAGACAGAGTGACGACAGCGATGTTCGAAATCGTTGAGCCGAGCAGGGCCGCGGGCAAGGCCGGCTAGGCCGCAGGGCATCCGGACATTCACCGAGAATGGTCTCGTCCTTCTTGAAGTGGAGTATCTTGGCCATGATGCACGTCTCCCGCATGGCCACCTCGCCCCAGTGCTCGAAGTAGGGGAAGGACGCCATGGCCTCGCGCATCTCCTCCCAGGTCTTCATGATGGAGGCCTTGAGGACGTTGTCGAAGTCGCGCTTCTGCAGCAGCAGCACCTCCACCACGGCTGCGACACAGGCCATCGTGCGTTCGGCCATCAGTGCAAAATCACAAAATTTTACGGGACGGAAAAGATGCCTTGTTGTGCGGCTGAAGCGGGCTGCAGCATAGAACCCGCTTCTAGTGCAGCATCCAGTTTTCATTTCGAACGGGACACCACTCTCTCTCTCTCTCTCCGGTCTTTTTTTTTTTTTTTTTTTTTTTTTTTTTTGAAATCAAGAAAATCTACACCAATAAGAAAGTCAGCGTGAATTTGAAACCAAACTCGAATCTCGAATGCATAAGCGAGAGTCCGCTTCCAGATTGGGAGATTTCCTCGCGTTGTTGGAACTCACCGTTGCCCCACCGGCCGGGCATCTTGGCCGCCGCGGTGGCCAGCCCCCCCACCACCCCCGCCATGCCGTGCCTTCACAGCTGTGCCTTGTCTGCCGGCCGGCCGGCCGTGGGCTGCTGCGCACTCTGTTGTCCCTCCGAGGCGCCACTCCGGAGCGGCGCGGCCACGACTGACTGAAGCGCCCAGGCCCCCCGGGGGGAGCTAAGCCGGAAAGGAAGCAGAGCCGGCGCGGGGGCGGCGTGGGCGGGGGGCGGGGGCTGCGGGCGACGCGACACGCTCGGGGGCAGGACGGGCTGGGCGCGCTGTAGACTGATTCCGGCGGTCTCTCTCTCGTACCGGTACGGAGCGCCCCATGAGCGAGAGAGAGAGAGAGAGAGATAGAGAGATAGAGAGAGAGAGAGAGAGAGAGAGAGAGAGAGAGACCTCCCACTCGGAATCAGTCTACTGGGCGGGCCGGGCAGGCCGGATGCCACGGGACTCGAGTCGCAGCCGTCGCAGCCCTGCCTGCCGGCGACAGCGCCAGCACGGAACGAACAGCGAGACGTCCAGAGCGACGCCACCGAGGGGGCCACCACTCTCATTTCAGGCGTACACAAGATTACGGGATTACGGGATATTTACTAGGGATTACGCGTGAAATTTTCGAAAATTGGATCGAAAACGTTGAAAAATAGCTCAGAAACGTTGAAAAATGACTAAAAACGTTGAAAAATGACAGAATTTCGTCAAGGATTACGTGATTACGCCATGGATTACCAGAGATTACCAGCCAATTTGTACACAGGATTACGGGGGTGGTGGCCGAGGGGGAAATCACTCTTAAAAACTGTGACCCGACTACTCCCTATTACGTTCTATTACGCTATTACAGAAGGCTTATTACGCTCAAAAATATCCAGATTTAGGCTAAAATCGGACCCTAAATAGTGGAAATTTTAAGAAATTTGGCTATTACGCTATTACTATTACGCGTAATACTAGGAATCGGTGACCCGACTATTACGCGAGTGATTTCCCCCTCGGTGGTGGCCCCCTCGGACGCCACGACACCACAGGCCTTGCCACAGGCAGATTCGGGAAGCCTTCCCGCCCCCAAGCGAGCCCTCCGAGTACCGCTGGACCTTGCCAAGTCACTTTTCTCCCAAGGCAGTCTTTTTGATTTTAGGTCATCATCGGAAATTTTCATAACGGACGAGGAGTCAGCAGTCTCCCATAGTTCGAGACTCGACTTACGATCGAATCCTGTCGCCGGGAATCGATCCCGCGCGAGACTTTGCTCGAGTTGGTTTCCGGATGGCTCTGGCGCCGCCAACACCACTCATCCCCGAGTCACCGCGCGGCCACCCCCACCCCCTGGGCCTGGGCCGCGTGCCGCAAGGCGTGCCGCCTGCCGCGTGGCGTACATCACAGCTGCAGCTCTCTGGCAGCCGGGGCCCCGCTTTGGCTTTGGACCGACACGGCGGGAAGGGGGGAGGGGGGGGGGGGCAGCCCGGCAGGTGTCGCCGCTCGCTGCTTGCGCGGCTTGCTGCTCGCTACGGGTGCCGTTCGCTATTTACACGTGCAGTGGACCGGGCCGGCCGTCACCGAGTTGGCCTCGCGTAAAGCAGCGTCAGCGCGTCACGGCGTCACACGTAGCGGGCGTAGCGGGCGTAGCGGGCGGCCTTGGGCGCCAGCGCGACGCTAGCGCCTCGAGGGTGCGTGGCCGTGGCCCCCGCAGCCCCCAGCCTCCACCGGGACGCCCCGCCCACCGCCCACCCCGCCCGGCTAACTGCAAACCGGTGTCGCGTGCCCGTAGACTCATGCCCAGTGGGGGGTATCTCTCTCGCACTCGTGGGGCGCTCCGTGCCGGCGCGAGTGAGATACACCGACGGCATCAGTCTAGCGGGCGGCGTGCGCGGCTGACAGCGTGACGCGTGTAGCTGTCCGAGCTATTTCCGCGGCGACCACTTTCCGCGCCGCGAATCCGCAAATCCGTTTAGCCGCGCCGCTTCCTTCTGCGCCCCCTTCGGGACGGACCGACGGACCGACGGACCGACGGACAGACTCACAGGTGGTGACGGTGGTGGAGAGGCGGTCCATGTCGTGCAGCAGGGACACCTCGCCCAGCGCGTCGCCCGGCCCCAGCGTGGCGTGTAGCTGCAGCACGGTGCCGGGCCTGGTCGCCGCCAGCGGGTCCGGCACCTCGCGCCACTCCTCCAGCGAGCCGCTCAGCACGAAGTACATGCCCTGCGTCTTGTGGCCCACGCGCGTGATGGTGCGGTCCTTGCCGTAGCACTCGAAGGACACGAAGCCCGCCATCATGCGGCGCACGTGCTGCCGAGCCGAGCATGCAACCAAAGTTTGGCAGCCGCCAACGCCAAAGGACATTGCGAGTCAGTCGTGTTCCGGAGCCCTCGGCGCGCGGGGCGGGTCACGGGGCCGTCGTCCACCGCCCACTGGGTGACAGTGACGGGGGCGGCGGAGTAGATAAGAGCGGCTGCGCTAACTATCATGGACTGAAACAGTCACAAAACCAATCCCAAATACGCACTGCAGTCACAGTTCGACCGGGGTTGGAAATACACGAGTCATGCGCCCACATAACCACCCTTGCGGCACCATACTGCCCGAACGCTCATAGCTTAATCTGAAGCAGCGAGGGAGGGAACGCGAACAACGGAGTGCGATTAACAATGAGAGTTGCCGTCCGGGGTCTGTCTGAAACAAGACTTTTGAAACTCTCAAGGAAAATTGATCCTCCGGTCATCCGCGGCCAACTTTCACTCATTGTCATATCTACCCACGAACAGTGAAGCGGTCAATTGTACCTCGTACGTCAAATGAGTGGTAGTCTTGTGCTCCTTCCAGGGGAGCAACCCAGGGAGTAACCCACCCTCCCTCCCCTGATCCCAACCCGAGGCGATACCCCGCCCCTGAAGCGACCCCTCAGCCCGGAGTATTCCCGCGGCGTTACTCCGGGCGTGTCCGCAGGGATCTGAGTGGGCAGGCGCAAATGGGCAGGCGAGCCTGGAGCCGCCAGGGGCCGTGGGTTGGGATTGTCGGCATTCGCAACTACGCAGTGTGCCTCAGCGCGACGCAGGGTCTCCGGATTTGTGGAAGCAAAGCGCCCATTGAAACGGCCTGAAGGTTGGGAGGGGTTCCAAAGGCTCTGGCAGTATTGAGGCTTTTTTGGGCTGAATAAGAACGATCCGCACGTGTCTCGAGGGCCGAGGCCTCCCCATTCGGAGAAAACCTGCTTATCTTCCTTTCCAGGTATACCAGGTGTACCAAAATCCCCGTGTCAAAAGAAGAGGTGAGGAACCCGCATGTAGCCGCGCGGGCGGGCTTGCCTATGCGGTGCTTCGTGGGCGCGGAGGTGATCTAGGGTCGCCATTCGTCACTAACGCGCCACTAACGGGTGACAAGCGCTCACTGGTCTAGAAAAATTAAGAAGGATTGTCTACTCGATTGTCTACCAATGCGATGGGAATTGGAACCGTCGCCCGGTTAAACGGCGTCTGGCTGTCGCTGGAAGTACAATCAACGAAATTCATGACGCGAACAACGTTGGACTTGTGGGAGGGCCTCGGCCAGGCCTCGGCGGGTACCTCCGGGTACCTCCGGAAGCAGCGCATGCCGCTGAACAGGCTGGCCAGCACCTTCCTCTCCTCCACGCTGCGCTGGTCGTGCGGCCGGCGCAGCAACGCCTTCTCCTGCAACCGCCAAACCGCGCCAAACCGCGCCAAAACCCTCATCTCACCCTTCATCCTCGCCAGGCTCAACTGAACGCCTTGAGTCGCGTCAGAGACGCGCTTGGACCCTTTTATCACTGCACCACTTTGTGCGCGACGAACAAAACCCCTCTGATTCAAAGGGAAGTTTGTTGGATTGACGAGGTTTGGAGCGAAATGCCTGTTGAATTCGTTTCACCATACCGTTCTCGTATCGATCGGTCCAACCATCAACAAGGAGGTGGTTTTCGTTCAACGAACCTACCACCAAGAAATGCACTGTGGGTGGCTCCACGCAGCTGAAGTTCGTACCAATAAATCAGTACTCACCCACACATTTACATTGACGGCAAATACAAAATTTCAACAAATTTCGTTGAACGAGCAGTTTTATCCCGCGCACCATAAGTGGTATGATAATGATAAGGGGCAGCCTTTTCCAAAAAAGAGGGCCAAAACGGCGTCGAATAGGGTGCTATTTGGAGATGAGCTGAAGGTATTTGAGAAATCAAGAAGACGGCGAAGTATGAGAATAAAGCTCTGCGAAAGTGGCATAAGGGCAACGCTCATTCTCATAGATTTCTCATACTTCGTTTTTCTGGATCTCTCAACTTCCGTTCCAGTCCAGCTCTTCTCCGAAGTACCCAGCGCGCGCGGTGTGCTTTTTTTTTACTAGACTTGGTTCCGTACACAGATGGACAGCTCGCCGGCGCGCTTCCTGCGCTTGGTGAGCAGGGCCACCAGGTTGACGACGCCGCCGGCCAGGCCGTCCTCCTCGTCGTCCTCGTGCACGGACAGCCAGGACTGGTGGGCGATGACCTGCCGGATGGCGCTGCGCCACTGCGTCCGCGGGCACAGCCTCCGGAAGCCCAGCGGCTTCTGCGGCGGACACGGCAACACCCAAATTCGAAAGGCGGTACACATAATGGTCTTACGAAGGCGGTATTCGTTTCACCGCCTTCCATGTGTGGTACAAAAATTACCGCCCATTGAAGGCGGTAAAATTACCACCTTTCACCGCTGTACCGCCTTAAATTTCCCTCCAAATGGTACATTCAAGGCGATAAAACTGTGGAAGGTGGTAATTTACCGCCTTCAATGGGCAACGAATGCCTCTTCGAAAGGCGGTAAAACGAATACCGACCTCGATTGTGGAAATTTTACCATCCTTGGGTTTTGTGTGAAGGAGCTGAACAGCGTTCGACAGCGTTCCACATATTTTTTCTCGCCGAGAGGCCGGGCAATGGCTGACCCCCTCATCCCCCCCCCCCCGCACCCTAATCAAGGAGAAATGGAGGAGGAGGCCCGGTTGTGGAGCGCAGAGGCAAGAAATACACGGCGTGTTTCGAATCCCGGGGCTCCTATTGAACGCCAGAAGCCAGGCCATCATATAACTTGGTCTTGCTGACTGGATTTCATCGCCCCCTATCATCGTCTTGACTTTGGCAGACGAGGCCAAGTACGCAAATTGCGTCGATCCTCGCGTCAAAAGTTGAGTTTGAAGTGATTCGCACTTCTGCAGCGGTGTTCGCCCTTAGACTTGAGCGGCTGTCTGTATCGCCGTGACCTCGGCTAAGACCCGCGAACGGGTAAGGACCTGACCAGACATCCCGAGACATCCTCTGCTTTTGCGTGTGTGACTGAGAGTGGACGACGAACGTGAGCCTTCTGATTCGACAAGAAAATCTTGCTCTTTCCCCCTTCTGAAGGTGGATCCTGGAGGGCCTCTCCTGGAGGTGTTCTCCTGTTTTGTCTGGTTCCTTTGACAGGATTTGCCTTGCCCTGTCGTCAGAAGGGTGCTGGGATAAGGACGAAGTGTGAACGGTGTGGGGCGGTGAGGCGCGGCGTGGCGCGGCGTGGCGTGGCGCGGCGTGGCGCGAGGGGGCGCGTTGCACCGACGACGCCACCCTTAAATCTGGCCGGCCGGCCGCTGCCGGCCGCTGCCTGCCATTGGCAGTGCTGTCCCTGAAAGTGTCGAACCTCCTTGGCGACCTCCATCTTCCTCTTGATAAGTGAGAACGTGTCGGGGCGGGCCGCCATGCTGGTTGCGGGGGCGACGGGGGCGGCGGGGGCGGCGGGGAGCACTACGGCGTGGGGAGTCGGGACAGGAGACAGGAAGACGAGGGGGACGCTCTGGCAGCAACAATCACTTGCCAACAATCGGGGCGGGCTGGGGTGGCTGGGCGGCAGGGCGGCTGGCGGGGTAGAAGCAGAAGCATGCACAGCACAAGCCCAGCAGCGCACACATGGAAGGCCGCCTGCAGCAGGCCGATTCCGTGCACGGCTCTCGTTCTGTCTCTCTTGTACTCACGGGGCGTCCAGTGTGGGTGCGAGAGAGACAGTGACGAAAGCAGTGCTCGGTCTGCTGGCTGTCAGTCGCTAATGAAGCTGCCGCAGGTGGACACCATGTGGACACCCATGTGGACACCTGTCCTCGGGCGGCGCTCATGGGCGGCCCGACGCCGAGGCGCTGCAGCGCTGCAGGGAGGCGCACCTGAAGCGCGTCGCCCCATCAATTCGCGGCGTGCGGCGGCGTGCACCACCTGCCACTTTGACGTGGAGGTGGTCCTTGGCCGTGGCGCCCCGAGCCGCCAGCCCCAGCCTTGGCCCCAGCCGCCCCAGCGTCAACATGAAATAAAATATATCCAACAAATTTTCCTCTGTATCGGTAGAACACAAGTGAGCTAGTTGGTTCCTAAGTCGTAGGATGATTAAATGATAAACGTAAAGTACGGGTTCCCCGAACAAACTTTTGGATGTCATAGCAAATGGTGTGCTACACAAGCAAATGCGGTTGAATCAAGATTTTAAAACGCACAATTTTTGAAGTAAACAACTATTTGTTCTGGGAACTTCGGTCGTCGCAGATCAAACTACAGCTTATTCGGACCAATTGTATCGGTTGCTCCGGGTGAGTGGGGGTGCATGTCACGGTTTGTACTTTTGCGTCATTGCCGGCGGCAGGAGGCCTGCTCGCCCTGCTCGTCCCGCGATTCCCGTGACGCAGGACTCCACGGGAACGCCCGGCGGGTGGGGCGAGGCGGGGACGGGACAGCTTTCGATAAGCCGGTAACCCGATTTGTTCCGCACCGCGCTCAAGCGCCGCAACATTTCGGAATCCGAGGATCTTCCCGGAACCGCGGCGGCGGCGGCAGCGCGCAGTTTGATGGATTGCTGCAAGTTTTGACGGTCGTCTCCGCGGCGGCGTCTCTCTCAGGTCGCCTCGGACGCCGCGAGCGACGCGACTTGACAGGATCGCAACCAAGCTCGATGCCTGGGGCCTGCGGAGCGCCACCATCTCGTAGTTTGCGGTGATTGCCTGCTGCGTCTAATTACTGCGTCGAGGCACCGAGCGGCGCTGCGTCGCTCCGTCTCTCTCGCGCCCCCACGGAACGCCCCATGGGTGCGAGAGAGACGGAGCAACCCGCGTTCCGAATCGTGGGGATGTGACGCTCGGCGTTCGTGGACGGTAGGTCCTCGAGACGTTCGGCTCTGCTCTAGACGTTCGGCTCTAGACGTCTCTAGAGAGAGGGAGAGAGGGAGAGAGAGAGAGAGAGAGAGAGAGAGAGAGAGAGAGAGAGAGAGAGAGAGAGAGAGAGAGAGAGAGAGAGAGAGAGAGAGAGAGAGAGAGAGAGAGAGAGAGGGGGGCGGTGTTTAGAGGGACCTGGGCAGGGCGCCAGCTACGCCAGCTACGCCAGCGTGGCGCACGGCAGAGCCCGCCGAGTCGCGCTCCACTCAGTCGGCGGCCGGCGAGAGCGGTGCAAGTCAAACACCAGACCGTCGCCACCATGGCCCCCATGAAGAAGAGCGCCTCCGTCTCGGAGAAGGAGCGCCACCTGGAGAACGTGGCCACGCTGCTGTTCCACCGCGGCAAGCTGTACAGTGGCGCGGACGACGGCAAGATCAAGGTGAGCATGCATGCAACAAAAACAAACGAGCTGCTCTCTTTCGGCGTTCACCGTGTTCGCCGCGTTGAACTGCTTCATTGAAGTGATTTGGATTAGGCCGAGGCTTGGCTGCGTTGACCGGGCTGAACCCGCCCTTGGCTTTCCCAAGGCCGTTACGCGTTCTTGTCAATGTCGGCTTGCCATCATTCGTCATGTCCAGACGGGATTGCTTTTCAAATCTGGCGCGGGGTCCTAGGGACTGCGAAAGGGAAGGCCCCTGCGCAGCCCCGGACCGCCCGGCTCGGCTCCGTTTCGGACAGCGCGTCGCTCGTGCTGCGGCCGTGCCTGCATTTGCATGGCTCCGGTTTCGCGCCTCGACGTGGCATGGCGCTGGGCGCGGACCAGTGCGAACAACGCGTGGGGCGCAGGAGTCGTGGCCGCTGCCCGCCGCGCGCGGTCGACGGCGACGTGCTTCTTTTTTTTTCCCGATCCGTTCCGCCACACGCTCGGCGCGCTCGGCCTCCTCCCCGAGTCCCGCTAAATTTGAGGTGGGTCTGGGTGTGGGGCGGGGCGGGGCGGGGCGACGCGGTCAGCTGTTGGCGAGTGGCCAGACAGCGAACGCCCCGCCCCGGCCGCCACGCAGACAGACAATTCGCTGGGGGTGTGGTCCGACTTGGTGGGACGCGCACCACAAAACAAGGGCGGCACAACAGCCACAACAGCTGGCCGTGCGCCACGTGGGCGACGGTGGGCGAGCACGTGCACGACAGGGCACTGCACTGCAGGACGAGGCAGGACGACGCCCCCGAGGCCCCCTGAGCGGGCCAATGCTTGATGGCGTGGAGGCGAAGGTGCCCGAGTAGCCGCACCGAGCCGCACCCAGGTTTAGCCCGGATTCGGGCCGCCCCGCCCCGCCCGCCCCGCATGGCGCTCTCACAATTGTCTGTGATTGGCCGAGAGGGCCGGGCCCCCGCAAGGCCTCTTTCTCTCGCGAGTCTGTAGCGCTACTGCCACGCGACCGCGTCCGCCGGGCCCGAAGAGATTCGCGGAACGGCTTGCAATGAGAGTTATACCTGTCTGTTTCGTCCTCTCTGGGAGGGCCCTGGTGGCGGCAGGCGGCAGTTATTCTTCAGCCACCGACGGCAGAGGTGGCCACGGTCTGATGCTGCCTTTCCACCGCGCAGATGTGGTCGTCCGACCTGAAGCTGGAGGCCGAGGTGCAGGCGCACCCCGTCAACGTGTACTCGCTAGCGGCGGAGGGCGACACGCTCTACTCGTCCTCCAACGACGGCTCCATCCGCTCCTGGAACATCCTGGACAACCTCAAGCCGGGGCTCGTCGTCAAGGAGGACTGCGACGTGGAGACCATGAAGCTCAAGTACGCCAACGACCAGCTGTACGGCGGGGACGTCGACGGCATGGTGAGTTTGCGGCCGGGGCGGTGCGCACGGCGACGTCCCCAAAGAGTCCCGAGTCCCGCTGCGGAAGCGCAATTATAGACGAAGGCCGCTCGCGAATGTGAATGTGTGGATGTGGAGTGTGATGCCAGCGGGGATGGCGTCACGTTTTTTTGAGCAGCCGTTTCCTTATTTTTACTGTGGCTTTTAAGTGGTATATATTGATAGCAGACCCCCTGCTGCTTGTAATCGCGGAGCCCTGCAAGAAGTGAGTCCTTGATCCGACAGCATTTGCATCGCGTTTGAACCTTTTCGAAGAGCGTCTCTCGATGCGAGTCAAATGCTCTCGGTTGACGAATTCACACTTTTCGGTGAGCAGGCTCGGCTCCAGGTTTTGCCCAAATAAGAGCTAAGTCCTCGAGCACAAAGGTACTGCGTGCCATTATTTTTCAATTCGCAAAACTGAAGATCTTTACGACTACTGTACACAGTAAATGTCTTACGGTGAAAGGCTGCACCAACATAATATGGTGGAGATTTTCTCCATAATACCAAAGAAATTCGTCAAAATCTCTATAAGGTACAGTGAATTCTCAATGGTATGTTACGAAGTCAGCTGCACCACCATAATATGGAACATTTTCACCATAATATGGAGAATCTTCACTGTAGAACATTTAGAGTGTACTTCCGCCTGGAGGCGGAAAGCAGGCACCTCATGAATGCATCTTTGATTGGGTTTACGCTAGACGAAGTCCGTGGTGCTTGGCCAAGTACTTCTCGAGCGGCGCCCGTCTTACTTCGCCGCCGCGTTGGTGGGCGGGATGGAGATGTGTGGGTACATGTCAGGAACGCGGCAAGAAATGTGGCGCTTGGCACCTCGTGCGGGCCTGGCCGTGAGTCACGGAACTGCTCTTGAAAAAGTGTCGGTCCACCGGCAGGGCCCGGCGGCTTGCAGTGCAGACTGGTTCCGAGAGTCGTTTTCACCACTCTGTCTCTCCCGCACCTGCACGGAACGCCCAACGAGCGCGAGGGAAACAGCGACGAAAACGACTCTTGGAATCAGTTTGCTGGTGGCCTGGCGGGTGTTCAAGAGGATGAAGTGTGCTTTCCGCACCGTGAATGGCGGCAAAATGCGGCAGCGTCGAGGGTGTGCATGGGGATGGGGAGCTTAGTGCGCGGAGGGCCCGGGGCCAGGCGGCGCCCCCGCGTGCCTCCACGATTATGCAAATGTGTTGCAGGTGACAGTGTACAAGGGAGCGAAGAAGGTGAAGCAGTACGAGATCCTGGAGGAGGTAGGGGACATGGAGGTGCTGGACAACCTGCTGTACACCTGCAGGGACACCTACGTCACCATCACCGAGATGCTAGGTACGTCGACGTCGGGTCCAGGAGCGATCAATTGCCGCCCGTTTCCAGGACTGTCATGAAAAAAAAAACCTGAGATGCTGGTATTCGAACACCGCACTTTGTAAATGCGATACTGCTGGTGGTCAGGAGTCTGCGTCACGCTGCCCAGCAGCGGAACTACTGGGCCATGACGACACCTCCTAGGAACAAGCGGCTATCTTCCAGGAGCTTCCAGACACTCGGCTATCTCGCAGTAGCTTTCAGACACTCGGCTATCTTTCAATAGCGTCCAGACACTCGGCTATCTTCCAGAGCGCTTCGGAGACTCGGCTAACTGACTTCTGCGGAGAGGTTAGGGTTGTCCTTTCGAAAGCGTTTTTCTTTGTTACACTCATCAAGACATGCTCACGCCATGATTTAAATCTACTCTGACAAACTTTTGACACATTTTGGTTAGGTCCCGGTGAGGGCATTTCAACTGGTTTAAAATATATACGCACCCAAACTCGGGAAGTGGGGAAAGCAGTTAGCCGAGTCTCCGAAGCGCTCAGAAAGATAGCCGAGTGTCTGGACGCTATTGAAAGATAGCCGAGTGTCTGGAAGCTACTGAGAGATAGCCGAGTGTCTGGAAGCTCCTGGAAGATAGCCGCCTGTTCCTAGGAGGTGTCGATGAGAGGTACGCTCGATGCAGGCCGATTTTGTAAACTGGAACTGCCTTCGTGCGATGCGAGCTTGGTAAAAACATTCGCGACCACGGGTATCGAACCCCGAAGTCTAATGTCGGGACCCAACCCAACGCCTCTCTGCTCTCGGCCACTACGACCCACATAAGCGTGTGTGTGGAACGAAGTCCTTGAAGCCGTGGGTTTGAACCGAAATGGTAGAGCCGGTAAAATTAAGGGAGTACTGGGTACCGATCGCCCGATCCGGGCGTCGAACACGCCGAACACGGACTTGGCGTTCTTGACGTGCTTCTGGTTGCAGGCAAGAAGAGCGGCTTCACCATGCGCAAGTCGATGCAGGGCCGAAGCCCGCTGGCGGTGTCGGAGAGGAGGCTCGTGTTCACGAGCACGGACGGCCGCTGCATCCAGATCCACGAGAACAACAAGGAGAACAACTTCGAGGAGGTGGCGGGCGTTCCGGTGAGAACTTATCCCAGCGGTTCCCAACCTTGGGGTCGCGACCCCAAAGGGGGACCCCCCAAAGGGGGTCGCGAAAAAATTTTGAGGGGTCGCGGCGAGGTGGTTGGGGTCGCCTGGGGTCGCGGCTGTTTCCCGGCTGGCAGAATTGTTCAAAACGGTCGAAAATGCCTTTGAAAACTCGTGTTTTAGGCCGACTTTAAGCAGCAACTGCGTCTGATCCGAGGCGGTATGTCGTCCTCCCTCAGCGGGCATTTGGTCTTTGGACCTTCCTTTAGAATGCCTTTGTTACGGAGCGCGATTATCGGCCTTAGTTTGGGAGCAGTATTGTCTCAAAGTGGATCAAAATGGCATTCAAAGGCATTTTTTACTGTTTTCATCAACTTTGAGACAATACTGCTCCCAAACTAAGGCCGATAATCGCACTCCGTAACAAAGGCATGTTAAAGTAAGGTCCAAAGACCAAATGCCCGTTGAAGGAGGACGAAATACCGCCTCGGATCAGACGCAGTGGCTGCTTAAAGTCGGCCCAAAACACGATTTTTCAAAGACATTTGTGACCGTTTTGATCAACTTTGTGGCAATACTGCTCCCAAACTAAGGCAGATAATCACACTCCGCAACAAAGGCATGCTAAAGGAAGGTCCAAAGACCAAATGCCCGTTGAGGGAGGACGAAATACCGCCTCAGATCAAACGCAGTGGCTGCTTAAAGTCGGCCCAAAACACGATTTTTAGAAGACATTTGTGGCCGTTTTGATCAACTTTGCGGCAATACTGCTCCTAAACTAGGTGGATTATCGCACTTTGTATCAAAGGCATGCTAAAGGAGGGGTCGCGTGGGGTCGCGAAATTTTTCCTGGGGGTCGCGGAAATTTTTAGCAGATGATACCTTTACTCAAAAACATACCTAAAACTACAACTAAAAGACACATAAAGGTGTCAGCTAGCTTTTACTCGAGAGTCCAAAAACCAAGTGCGTATCCTAACAATATAATAGGGGCTGGCTGCCGGGGCGGGCTGGTGCGTCTGTGCCTGCGGCGCAGCCTGCGCGGAATTCGACAATGGCACCCCTCCTCGCGCGCGACGGCCTGGGCGCAACATTCACAATCCCTCCCCGCTACAGCGCACAAAGGACTCAGCTTTTAAATACTATCTTTGGAATGAACCCATACTACACCGTAGAAGAAAACCAAACGAGTATCATCTGCTTTCATTAACGTTCGTTGAATGAGATTTTTTGTTACAAATTTGGGGTCGCGAACCGAAAAAGGTTGGGTACCGCTGACTTATCCATCTCGCTCTGTATCTCTGTCTATCTCTTTCTCCCCACCCCCTCTCTCTCATTCGGAATAATGTGAATTTACTTTGAACAAGGATAATTTACTTCACCATAAGGTATATTCCCGCTCCAAGCTGCTCCAAGTGTATTTTCTTGCTCCAGAAATTTTCTTTCTGAGTGTACTTGCCAATTTTGCCCCTAAACGGATTTTTATTTGACGTCATGCCCCGCATCGCGCTTCGCCAGCGTAATACTGCGTAATACGCTCCCGCACAAGGTTCCTCCAGGAGAATAACTTCTCGGCTTTCCCCGCAGCATTCCCCCCCTGCATTCCCTGCCGTAATTGGGCTGCGAGGCTGGCTGAGGAATCTGCGGGCGTGGCGGGGCGTGGCGGGGCGTGGCGGGGCGTGGCGGGGCGTGGCGGGGCGTGGCGGGGCGTGGCGGGGCGTGGCGGGGCGTGGCGGGGCGTGGCGGGGCGTGGCGGGGCGTGGCGGGGCGTGGCGGGGCGTGGGGGCGTGGGCGGGCGGGCGGGGGGGCGGGGCGTGGCGGGGCGTGGCGGGGCCGTTTGTAAAGGAGCGGGCGGGGCGCGGGCCGCAGCCTGAAGAGGAAGCGCAGGAACGCCTTCGGGGCAGCCGCGCTGACTTTAGCCTACCCTCCCTCCCTTCAGAAAGAGTCCTTTCCTCTTTCTGTCTCTGTCGCAATCATGGGGCCCTCCTTGAGAGTGCGAGGGAGACAGAACTCGGCAGGGCCTCATCCGAGTTGCAGACCGGCAGCAGGTTTAGTTACTTTAGTCTGTACACATGCGGCAAAGCAAAGAAAAGCGGATGGCGGCGGGTAGCGGATTGGACCCTGGCCGGCCCTGGCCCTTTCCCTCCTCAAACTCGGATTACGCGCGCAGGGCAGCGCAGGGCGCCCTGACCGAGCAGGCTTCCGCAAGGTTGCCCTGCCCTTCGCCCTTGCCCCCTCCCCCCGCCCCCCTCGCTACAGTGGTGCGGCTCGGCTGTTGCAGGCGCACGAGATGATCATCCAGGCCATGTGCATCTCCAAGGACGGCCGCTACGTCTTCACCGGCGGCTACGACCGCTGCGTCCGGCGCTGGGACTTGGACACGCCGCGGGAGTCGGGCGTGACGGGCGAGTTCAACACGGAGCCCGTCGTGAGCAGTCTGTGCGCGGGCGAGAAGGGGCAGATCTACGTCGGCGGCACGGCGGGCTACCTCGTCAGGGTGGAGGCGGCCTGATGGCGCCCCTGCCGGGCCCTGCCGCCTTGGTGCGTGGACACAAACAGCTTCACATCTCCTTTCACGTTGGCCGTTTTTGGATCTGAACAGGTCCGAGGGATCAGGTGGGGTGGCACGGCGCAGCGGGTGGAAACTCTTTTGCCGAAATAGGCATGCAGAGGTGTTTTGTTCACGCTAGATCTCAGGATCCAAGAGAGATGGGTAAAATCCGCGGGCATATTTGGAATCCTCATAAAATTTCACGTGGCGTAGGGTATGTTTTATGACGAGGGTTGAGGAAAAAATCGATTACATTGCCAAAGGAAAATAAAAATTGGGCAAAATAACGTTTTGTGACAAGGATCGAAACGTTGCATTGTTCTGCTGTGTGCCTTAATGCAAGAGAACGGAACCTCGTAGGGTAATTCACTGGCCATTTTCAGAATCCTAAAGAAATTTTCTGTGCAAAAAGCTGTCGTGAAGTCTGCATTACTGTATTGTCACAGTCAACCGTCGCTGTGTAACTTAAACAAGGTATGCATCAACTGCATTGCGTAGAATTGACAAAACAGCCTGCGATTGACCGCATGTTTCAAAGGTACTGACCTTCCATTTTTGACACCCGAGAAGTGATTTGCACAGAGAAAAGTGCGCTGAATTCAGATCTGTGCTCAAATTTTGAATTGGTCTCTCCGTTTTCTCACATTAAGGAACACAAAATAGCTATTTCCGGGAAAAGCGAAAATTTCGATCCTTGTTTCATAGCGTTATTTTGACGTATTTTTTACTTTCCTGTGGCAAAATAACCGATCATTTACTCAGCCTCCGACACTAAACATACCCTACGCCACGTGAAATTTTATGAGGATTCCCAATATGCCCGCGGATTTCACATATCTCTCTTGGATCCTGAGATCTAGCGTGAACAAAACACCTCTGCATGCCTATTTCGGCAAAAGAGTTTCCAGCCGCTGCACGGCGGCGGTGGGGGAACCACGCCAGACCGCCACCCGCCGCCACCGCAGCAGACTGATTCCGAGAGTCGTTTTCGTCGCTCCGTCTTCCTCGCACTCACGGGTCGACGACAACCTCCCTCGGAATCAGCCTCCAGGGAATTAATTGGCGGGCGCTTCGGCAACGCGTGGACCGTAGGCCGAGCCTCAGGCCGAGCCGCAGGCACCGCAGGGAAGCTTATTGCCGTTAGCTTAGTGAGAGGGCTTCAATCGGGATGGTGGTACGCCGTGGTACGCTGTGCGCGGCACTGCACGAAAATTATGTGTGAAGTACGGCGACATCTGTCAAAATAGGTCAAATAACTACAACGAGGATTGTAAAAAGTGCGGCCGTAATTATGAAAAGTACGAGCCCTAGACTGGACTAGGTCGACTACGTTCACTCGTCATCCGGTCCTATTGTTCTTTTGTAGTACAATAATTGTTGTACTCTGAAAGTACAATTCATCCCTGATAAAAATTTGCCGGGCTTTGTTGTAGTCTTTTCTAGCAGTGTGTGTGACTTTAGTTCCGCCACTGTCCAGGAACAGCCTTAATCGCTTCTGTCTCAGTATGGTCGATTCTCACGGCTCTTGCATTTGGGTGCTCGCCCGCCTTGTATATAGTTTTGTAATAAACAAATGTGCAAATAAACTCGTTTTTTTTGTCACACTGTTTGTCGACCAACACCCACACGTGTACCCTGTCGCGCCGCGCGCGCGTGCTCACAGAGGGGTCTACATCGTTTGTACGACCTCTTTTTGCCCGACCTGCTGAAATTCATCCGACCTCCTTCCCGCTGTTATATTTTTCTACGACCTCTTTTTGTCCGACCTCACCACCACCTCAGCCCCCAGCCCCCTCAACACTCGACAAAACAACACATGGTACCCACGACGGAGTCATATAAAAGTTGGTTGAAAATTAAACGTAAAAAATTTGAACCCTACGACCCTCTCCCCCCGCAATGGGGTTCGAGCCGCCTGCTTAACTTCGGTGTTCGGATGGGAACCGGTGTATCCAGGCTTTAAACTGCTACCGCATAGTTCAGCTTCTGTAGGACCGCTATTGCCTTCTTACACATGAAGGACCGCCTTATGACGCAGCAGGGCTCGACCGACACGGTCAAAATTTCGCAAGAAGTTGAGAGAGTCGAACCGCCGACCCTAGCACTGGGAACCGACGCCTCTACTCCCTGGACCACCACGTCCCACGCTCGGTGTGGTCTCTCGTTCACGGGTTTGAACCACACTGGGTGAGGCAGTAAAATTAAATGGAAATATTTGTTAGGAGTCGAACCTCCGGCATGTGGGCCTGTTGCACACGGCTCCGCTCTGATGGCCACAAACCACCACCCATACACTCAAAAAAATTTCAATACAAAATTCTGTAACATGGTTACGCAGTAATTTCCACTACAAATGTTACAGAATTTTGTATCAGCACTGATACAAAATTTTGTATCACGCGTTACGGTAAACTGTTTCCCGGTTACAGAATTCTGCAATGCAAAAATCAGAAAAATTTGTCGTTTTATAAACAAAATTTGAACCTCAACGATCTTTCATTCCTACACATTCGCTCCGTCGCTCCTGTACTCCCGAACACCCGGAGAAACCGAACTGCGTTCTCCGGAACCGAACCCCGGTCCCCCGGATTGCCAGCTCGGCATGCTACCGCTTGCGCCACCGCGCCGTATGGGGAGGCACGCCTCAGACTGTCGATGACACCGAGCGGGCACGCTGCACGCCCAGGTAGTGGTGGGAAACGAGCCCTGCGGCGCGACAGTTAGAGTTCCTGGCCCGAAGCTTCTAAAGTACCACGCCCCACGTTAGGACTTTTCGCCCGATCAATTGTGATGTTAAAATTAAGCTCGGAATTTGACTTTAAATTTGCGTTATTAATTTTTGCATCACCCGATATGTAAACTTGTAACGATATGTTACGGTTTTCTGTATCAGTTACAGTTATTTGCATAAAGATCGCATTTTTACATGGAACTATATCACTGATTGTGAATATTGAAACGAAAAGTTCGGCTTCGGGCGACGCCGCGGGGGGCGCTGCGCCTGGCTGCGCCGTGCCGCCGTGCCGCCGTGCCGCCCCGCCGCCGCGCCGCGCCGCGCTCCGAGCTTCCGGGCGTGGCCGCCAGGTGGCGGGGGTGCGGTCGGGGGCGCCGCGGCGCATCGCGTCTCGCGGCGTGGCGCTGCGTGGCGGCGCGGATGGAGAGGCGGCCCCCGATCGATAGGGTTGCCGTCGGCCGGTTGGGTTAGCGCCTGACGTCACCGTCAGGCCCGCCCCGCCCCTCCTCCCCCCACAGCGCTGCTTAGCGCCGTGTTTACCCGCGCCGTGGCGAGCCGAGCCGAGCCGCCCCACCCCACTGGCAACCCCTCGCGACCCCCTCCATGGAGCGAATGTGGCTGCGGCGCTCGGCCGCTAGCTCGCTCCGCTCGCAGGGCTTGCTTTGCTCGTCGGCGCCGCGCTTGCTCCGCTCAGACCGCTCCGGCAGGACTCAGGGCTCGCCGAGACCCGCTCGCTGGATGGCGAGGCAGTGCGCCATGCAGCAGCAAGGCGGGCAGCAGCGCCCGCTCGCGGCGCGCCGCTCACGCGGCCGCGTGGTGGTGGCGGTGCTGCTGTTGGCCGCGCTGGTCGTGGTGCAGGCGGGCGCAAGCCCCAGGGCAAGCCCCAGGCGCCGCCGCGACGTCCCCGACCCCAACGCGCCGCACGTCTTCACCAACTCGTTCTTGGTGAAGCTCAACGGTGACCTGGGCAACGACGTGGCCCACCAAGTGGCGCAACGCAACGGCTTCGAGAACCTCGGGCCGGTGAGTAGCACTAGCGGCACTAGCGGCTCGCAGTGGCGGCGACAGCCAAGGCGACGGCCGGGGACTGGCGGGGGCGGCCCTTAAACGCGCTGGGGTGTGGAATAAGGCTTCTGCAGCCGCTCCAGCCCTCCAGACGCTCCTGGCAAACGCCGTGTTGACGCACCGCGACGTGGCCACGGCGGCAGCGGCGCCCAGCAACAACAAGCATGCGCGCCAGCACTGGTAAACGGCCCTGGCGTGTAGTCGCGCGCGTGTGTGTGTGTTAGGGGGGCAGGGGCGGACTGGCTCCTAAAGGGCCCGGCGGGGAAATAGGCCAGAGGGGCTCGAATTTGCCTATCTTTCAGGGGTTTTTCATGAACAATAACAGATTTTTAAGCTTTTTACATTAATATCGATACTTTTGATCTATTTTGAAGCAATTCCGAGTCAGAAGTATGCTCTGGAGTTACTTAACTGGACAATACTTTGTGTTTTTTGGTCAAAAGGGGGCCCGTATACCGGGGGGCCCGGGGGGGATTTCCCCGCCACCAACCCCGGGCCAGTCCGCCCCTGTAGGGGGGTGGGGGGGGCGATTGAATGAGTGTGTTAATGGGTAAATGAATGAAAAAGAGTGAATGGATGAGTGAGTGAGTGAGTGCGTGAGTGAGTGAGTGAGTGAGTGAGTGAGTGAGTGAGTGAGTGAGCGAGCGAAGGAGTGAGCGAGCGAAGGAGTGAGCGAGCGAAGGAGTGAGCGAGCGAAGGAGTGAGCGAGCGAAGAAGTGAGTGAGTGAGCGAGCGAGTGAGTGAATGTATAGCAGCGTACTCCACAACAATTGTGGCAGTCAATAGACAAAAGTATTTACTCAAGTTCGTGGAATGCAGACGTGTACGATTGTCGTGTCGTCCTGGTCAACAAGCTTCCCCGCCACGTGGAGGTTGTAGCGGGTCGCATGCGCCGCCCCGTCTGCCGCCGACGGGGTTGATTGTTCCGACTCCCATCTACGACTGTCGTTCGTGAGTTTTTGGCGTCACCGTCATGTTTGGTGGGTGTTTGTTGTTTACCCGGCGAGGGAACATAATGGGGTGAGCGTTCGCTCTGCTGCTGCTCCATCGGAGCTGTCCGTCACTGCAGGGAAGGAGGGGGGCAGTCTGGAAGTGTTGTTTTCGCGCGGGGCGAGAAGCGCCAGCAGAGCCACTTTCTCTGAGTGATCCGAGCCAATATCACCAGGATTCCCGAATTTCGATATATCTTCGTAAAAATTAAGAATGGTTTCCAGGCCCCCGACATGAGGACGAGCGAAACGGAGCTTCAGCGACCCATAGGGTGGCATCGGCAATGAGCATCCATCGGCATGGGCCGTGGCCGTGCCAGAGTGCCACGACCGCGAGAGCGCCGTGAGGGCAGGCAGGCCCGCAACGCAGCCGTGTTGCCTACCTCCCATTACCATTACCACTACGGGCTAGACCACACATGATCGTATACCGTTTCGGGCCCGACACAAGCTCACCTGCACTGCAAAACGAGACGTGGCCGTCCTTACTAGGGTGACACTTTATACCGGCGGAGACGAACCGCAAGCGGCTCGAAGCTCCCACTCGCATTGTGACCAGGGAGGAGGTAACATCCCCCGGGAGGGATTGCAGGCCTCCGCCCCAGAACAGTCTCTTTGAGTACTAGGCGTCCGCCTCCGACAGCCCACGCGTGACGCGCCCCGTCAGCCCCGCCGAGCGCTGCCGAGACGCACGTTCATTTCAATCACCGGATTGCAGATCGTGATCAAAGCAACCACTTTGTCGAACCGCTCCTCGTTCATTTCGGTGCAAATCGATGGCGGGGCTCAAAGGCGACGCGGCCATATGGCGCCTTGTCCCCGCCGAGTCGGGCGGTGCCGGACGGGGCGGGGCGGGTCACAAAGGGGGGCTTACTTGAAGGCGATGGGATCTCAATTTGATTGGCGCCGCCGCGGTCTGGCCCGCCCGTCGCCTCGCTTGCCAGCCGGGGCCCCCGCATTCGGCGCCGCCCGGCGCCGCCGCAGAGCCCTCTAATTTCTATTTGCGAACGGGGGTTTATGCAGCGGGGCGGCGCCAGGCGGCGCCTTCGACTTGGCCGCCCTGCGGTCGCGGCCCTATTGAAGGCGGTGTGGTGGCGCGAAGAGGCGGTGGCTCCGCGGCCGCCGCGACCGCGTTGTTTGACGGCGAGGCCCAGCCAAGCCTCCCTCGTCCCACTTCCCGCAGTCCGGGTGGCCACGACGACCGGGTAAAACTGGCCCGCGCTCCCGTCCAATGCACGCCATGCAAGGCGCGAGAGCCAATCCAACTTGGCCGCCACCGCGACGTCTCCCCCTAGCCGCAGCGTGGCGGCATGTTGGCGGCATGTCGGCGGCAGCGCGCTGAGTCGTGTCTCTCGGTTCACGGCTGCAGCCGCGCGGCCCAAAACTTCCGGTCGGGAAACTTGACTGGAGCGCAGTCGGGGACCGCGAGATGTGCGCGCCTCGGGCCCCAGCAGCGCAGCTCCGATCTGGTCGCCTGCTTCTCGCGCTCCCCTACGCGGCGGCCCATGAGTGCGAGAGAGGCAGAGCACACCATCTTTGGCGCCCAGGCACGTCCAACGTCCAGGCCTGCGCATCAGGCAAGGCCATTCCGCTGAGCCCTTCAGACACCGCGCCGCACCGCACCGCACCGCGCACACGGGGGCGGCCGCTCCATTCTGCGCGCCGCCTCGGCAGCCTCGGCGATGCCTCGGGCCAGGCCTCGGACCGCCCTAAGTGGGGCCTTGATTTAGTGCGCCGGTCTAATTTTCCCGGCCGTGCCCGGCATCCCGAAGGCGGCGAGGCCACCGCCACCGCCACGGCCAGCTCCGTGTCCAGCAGCGCGCCCACGCCTCACGCCTCGGGGCCACGGCATGCAGCGGGTACTTCCCGCCGCCATCCAGCTTGCTCCAAGCTCGACTTGGGCGTAGTTGGCGGGCGGACCTCTCACGTCCAGCCGGCGTCCAATCACGACGGCGAGCTGCCACCGTCCCTGCCAATGGGCGGGCGCCCCCTCCCCCTCCCCCCTCCCCCGGGCCTCGAGCAGGGCATGCAAATACCCTTTCGACCTGCCACGACGCCGCCCCGCCGTCCTTCGTGGACTGCGCGACTGTGCGCCGATGCTGCAGGCGACGGCGACCCTGGCTCGCTGTGTCAGTCCGTCCTCACAGCTCCGGCCTGCCCGCGGTCCAGCGGCTGGGGCAGGCAAGCCAGGCAGGGCCGAATTCCGAGAAGGAGCAGCACATTTCTCCTCCAACAGGCGTATTGTGTTACTTTTTGCCTGCCTTTCAGGTGGTTTTCTAGGAACGGGGTGAATGGAGTGAAAGTCCTGTTGCTCTATATTTAAAACCAAGCCTTTTAGTCGTTTTTTTTGGGAGGCAGAGGTTAAAACGAGATTTCGTTTTGTTTGAAGCAGCGAGGTAACTCGGCCTTGCTAGGGCCCCGAGCGTTGCAGAGCACCCCCGGCCCTCTCCCTTTGACGTCCTCAGTGCCCATTCACCGTGTTCACGGTCGGAATGCGTGCTTTCGCCGCTCCGTGGCGCTGCCGCTGCGCTGCCGCCAACGCGAACGCGCGAGAGCGCTCGACCGATGTCTGTTGTGCAGCGACGCAGCAACGCGAAACTCGAAATTAATTAGCCTGCCAGCCCCCAGACCGCCAGCTCGCTCGCAGACTTGCAGCAAAAGCAGTGCAGCGCCGCGAGATGCTGGAAAATGCACAAAAGGATTCCGAGTTTCCGGGAAGTCAAGGAAGCCAAGGTGGCGCGCTGGAGCCAGCAAGGAGCACACTGCAGGCGCGACGAACCCACGCGCCTCTCGGGCACTAAGTCTAGTAAAAACTTCTCGGTGAAAATTTTCCAACTGTTACTTAAATTTGTCTAAATATGGAGAAAACCTCCACCTCCACCATAATTGAAGCGTTTCGAGCGGGGGCGTGCGAGGTTGGATGAGGGAGGGAGCGTCCCGTTAGGTGCCGGCGGTGTGTGGCAGCGCTGCCCGCCGTGACAACCCGGCGAGGATTCGATCTGCAGATTCTGCTCGGCAGAGCCGCAGAGCCACGCCACGCCGGGCCACGCCACGCCACTCGCGATTTCGTTACCGGAGAGCCACTCACCGTGATTAGTCTCTTATGCAGATTGGCGGCGGCGCTCGCGCCGTCGACTGATTCGGGAGAATCGAGCGAATCGAGAGAATCAACTTATTCGACTGAATCGAGTGAAAGGCAGTGGTGAATGCAATCAGAGGAGACCAGTGAAGTGATCACCCAACTGCCATCAATTAGTCTTAGGTAAGGCGACGAGCCCACCGATGAAAGGGGTTGAACACTAAAGCAAGGAAAGTACACAGGTTTAAAAATAGTAGTAATGAAGCCTGTCTGCTCTTACTTGTGGTTAAAATATCCCGAGAGAAACGGAAATAGGCAGATTTCATTACGTTTTGCGAGACCTTGAAACATCTGGAAGGAAGATCTGAAGCCATAAGACGACTGATTTGTGGCGAAAGGCGACATCTGCTCAATTTTTTGAACTGGTCAGGTCTAGTGAGGTGTTGGATTCACCCCAGGGACCATTCCACCCAAGGAACCGAGCGTGGTTTGATGAAGCGCCTATCCCGTCCGGGAAGATTTTCGGAAGTTGTTGACCCAGGAAAGGATGCACTGCTAAACAACGATGGCATAGCGTGCCTAGTATCGCGGACGCGATCGCGGAGCGCCTGAGCCTCTCACAATCCACGCACTACCCCACCGCCTGCTCCCCCGCCCTTGCAAAGCCTCCGGCCCTCACTCAATGGAGGACCGGATTGTCTCGGAAGACCGGGCGTGTGTGGCACACTGTGTGGCACACTGTGTGGCACACTGTGTGGCACACTGTGTGCTCGCAATGAATGATGCAGGGCCCCAGGGCGTGCGGCTTTGGAACGGGGCGCACTGCAGTTTCCGCGTCTCGCTCGCCCGGGACACTCCGCTTCCTATCCTTCGGGCGGCCCAGGGTCGTC